TGTCTCTCTCTCGTCTCTCTCTCTCTCTCTCTCTCTCTCTATATATATATATATATATATATATATATATATATATCTCTCATCTTTTGCGTATCTCTTGCACGTATACCTTGCAAGCGAACATAATACCTAGTGATGGTGATAAGGTTGCCGTTTACCAGAGATATCTATGCGATGTTTAGAGAGGCGCCATCGACTGCAAAAGTGAGAGACAGTCGAGGCACAATTTTCTATCGCGCAAAATAATTTATCTCTATTTTCACAATTATACATAAAATTATAAGCTATAATATGGGACTATCGTAATTTCAAAACCATTTTTTTTTAAACCAGATTTTTGGATTTAATTTTACGACATGTTGACTTTCTACGTTATGTAAATAACGCCAAAAGAAAAGCACAAAAGTTAATAAAAAATAACGAGTAGAAAATTCATTAATCGCAAAATGTCTAGTTTTACATGTGAAAGAACCTATATTTTTATTTTAGATTAACGCATTATATTCCATGCGATTTTTCGATCCGATTTTCTTTATTTCCTATTGTAATTTTGATTTAAAAGCACGTTTCATAATTTTATTTAGAAAAAAAAATATTTCATGTAATTTTGTGGACCATACTGTACTTTAATCATACACGGTAGCGCAGACGGTTGTAGAGATAAACCAAGTTAAATATTTTACCGCTCGATGCGAGGAACCCGTTTGATAACGTTCACAATCGCCCATTTCTTTTTTTACCTTTATTATAAGGTTTATTCAAAAATTATTTTACCGAGCGAATATGTTTATTTTTTTTATAAAAGAAGCGATAATATAATTTATTTTATTCAAAATAATAAAATCAACTTTTCAGAACATTTCACACAAAATGTTTAATAAACTAATTTTTACAGATTTCGTTAATTAAATTTTTTTCTCAACAAAAGAATGCAATACAATAGCTTTTAACTTATGAGAGAAGTTAAAAATAAATTTTTTTTTCAAAAATAAATAGAAAGAACTTTTTATTTCAATGCTTGACTAAGTTAATAATTTGACAATTTATGATGAACATTTGAAATATAAAAATTAAAAAACGATAAAGAAATGATGATCTTCAGGTTGATTTCAACTAAAAGAATGCTTTTTAAAAAGAAATATATGAGAAAATATCAAATATCACTCGTTTTTAAAACGTCAATTCAGCTTTTTTCAGAGAGTACTCTTACGCGAGTGTAATTCGTATCCAGGTCCTTGTTTTCTTCATCGTCATGTAATTATCGCGCAACAGGAATTTCAATCGAGACGCGTTCGTGCGAAGAGAAAGACAACCGAGGCGAGTTATTTATCGGGATTTCCAGCGCGCGTATCAACGTTGGAATGGTTTGAAAATGCATGTTTCTCCACGATTTTCAAAATAATAACAGCGATAGGATGCAGTTTTTGTAACACACAACCGCGTGCAAATTATAACGCGTTCGCTCGAACAGAGCGAAAAGTTCTACTTTCACCGCGATCTTGCGACATCACGCGAATATGATGCGCGGTAGGTTCGTCGCGTACAGCGACGGTCTATGCACCTGTTACGCAAAAGATTCTACATTCATCCTTTTTTCTTTAATTTCCGCTTCCTTTTACTTGAATCGCTCGATCGAAACTTGGTCGATAGAGGCCAGATTTCCATTCGGTTGGTTTTAAGCTTCGAGCGTGGATAATAATAGTCGAGTCTACTTGAATTCGATTTATTATACACGCCTTACGATCGAGTCGTAGGCGTCGCTCGATGATGAACGTTTCACTTTTCGTTTGGGATCCTCACGTTCGTGTCTCGTTAAAATCGTTCTCTATAATTTATCTGGAAGCTGACTAATCATCCGTAATTCATTTCCGACAATCGCGGAAAGGGCGTGATCCCGTAAAAGACAGTCTCATCCTGACTCCTATGCAGTTGCACGTGCCAATTCAGCGGCTGGCGATGACCGACATTCCTTCTTCTGAGCGCGTCACCGCCTGTGATTTACGTAACGATTATTATCGCTTTATGAATGTGGTTTTCCGTTGCCCTCGACAATCGTAATACGTCATGTGGACAGGGAGGGCTCTGAGAACGGGGGGGAGGGGGAGGGAATTATAAATCGACGGGAGTGCACACGTGTCCCCCGTAACACGATCTGCCGCGCATGCATCACCGATAAGTGCAATATCGCCTTTCCCTTTACCAGTGAACAAACACGACACAAACTCGACACGTTGGCGCATTTATTCCCTTATACTTATCAACGTGATGACAAAAATAGCGTCAAAATTGACAAAATTCGAGCGGTCGCCTCCTACGTTTATCCCGTAAATACGCACTTCGTTACACGGAGTCAGGGCTCTCGGCGGGGTGTCGCGGGCTCGTCTGCCCCCGCGATGAATGTTATATCCGCGGGGAAAATGTCGTGCAAATGCGCGTATAAATGCGCAAGCGGAAGACCACATGGTGTCACGTGGCGGATGGCATGCATGCAGGAAAATGCGCACTGACTCTGGCTACGTCGCGACTTCAGTTTGCTGGCGGTCTTTCCCATTTTCCCACCAGCCGCACGCCAGCGGGTGCCCGTGGAATTCCCGCCGGTGGATCGAATCGAGGGTGGCACCGCGGCAAGAGGAGCGATACGGATGACGATGACGATGACAACGACGACGCGGCACTGACACGGCACGGCTGCGGCACCGTGCGACGCGGTCTGACCGTAGCATAATGCGATACCGAGCTAACTGAGCGCAAACATACCAGAAAGAGGGGACCGGACCGACCGATACGAGCAAGTGGTGCTCGTAGGAGGAGGAGAACGTGACCGGCAACGCGAGGAGGGTCGCGGAGTGCGGGAGAGATTGACAGAACGGGAGGAAGAGAGAGAGAGAGAGAGAGAGAGAGAGAGAGAGAGAGAGAGAGAGAGAGAGAGAGAGAGAGAGAGAGAGAGAGAGAGAAGAGAGAGAGAGAGAGAGAGAGAGAGAGAGAGAGAGAGAGAAACGCGGGAGAGGCGGAGACGGTCAGAGAGTAGAGAGATATGGTATAACTGGCTTGAAAGAGAGACGGTTCGTGATAGAAAAGGAGAGAACTGAACGGGCAAATGGCAGAGACGACTGCCGTTTAACAAACGATACTGTCGCCAGACACGTAACGTGGCAGCGACAGCCTTCAACCGGTACTCGAGTACCTCTCTACATTCTTCGAACATTCGAATCGGAGTCGAGAATACGAAAATCCAAAAGATATGGATCCTTTTTTTTTTTATAATTACGAATCGGCAGTCGCGGCACCGTGCTCGAAATTTCAAGTGACTCCCGAATTGAATCGAATAACTCTCGAGTATAGTGTCGAAGTTACTGACGTTTATCTTATTTCTTTCATTATTTAAGATCTAAGTGGACACTGTTGGCACTCTGTTTCACATCTCCTATCGGTATTTGACGCTTTTCCTAAAACATTGGTCAGCGAGTTCACAGTTCGTGTTTTCTGAAAACTATTACCGTTTAAGATAGCAAACAAGAATAGAGATGTGAAGTAAAGATAATCCTCGGGAAGGGACGTCTCTAAGATATTCTTGATAGAGTTCTTAAGCGACCTGAGGATTGAATCCGTGAAAGTTTGTGAGAAACCGGGAGGACAAAGAATTTCGTAGAAGAGAAAAGGATGGAGAAACGGAGAACGTGCACGAACATACGACACGCGGATGCATGACAACGTGACTCTTCCCAAGGAGTCGACGCGGCTCGTGATGTCATCGGAAACTCGTTCCACAAATGCGACTTCTTGCATTAATCCGAGGTTTCTTCGTTTCTGTCGCGTCAGCGGATTTCGCAAGGACGCGAATGCAATGAGCGACGAGTTACGAGTGGTCTGCGAACCACCTGTTGAACATTTCGGATTCCCGGATACGCATGCCGGTCTCTCGCTGCCGAATTCGCGTCACTTCGCGACGTCACGTTCGTCGTTTGTGGTGTTTATAAATAGAAAATGATGACAGAGTCGATTAAGTGACTTTTCAGGTCGCAGAGCGGAAAGATTAATGACCCGTGCGTTATCGCATTACGATCGATATCAGAAACCATACCTCACTACGAGCAGCTGTCAATGCTTAAAATTAAGCTTACTTTTTTCGAAACGCGAGATACTTTTGAACTCTAGGATTTAGATCGACGAGTATATACGTGACGTTGAAGCGTCGCTCGTCGGCGGAGGAGATAACGCTCTCGATCGAATCGCAATAAGAGAAATCAATTAATAGTGTCAGTCTTAGAAGTGATGCAACAAGACGCCGCGTACCGCTTAGGCCCTGTTTATTGGTGCTGTTTGTCAGAATACATCGAGTTTTACAGTCAATATTTTCTATACAACAATTCTGCCGTATTACACATTTTCTCTATACATCATACATACACAGAATATAGTTATTTTGTATACACACGTTGACTAGATCTTAACGTCGTCTTATTTTATTGTTAGGCTCCAGAGGACCGATTTAATGCGAGAAATGGTTCCAATTCGCGGCGTATCTCTCCGGAGTGTAAGAAATACGCTTGCCGAATAAATTGCGCATTCGCTACGAACAAATTGACATCTTGGTCGATCTTTGCCGCTCCTTTCCTCCTCCGCCTCGTCCTCCCGAGACCGTCTTTAGAGATCTGTTTCAAAAAATATGGCTAATTGACGGATCTATTCTAACGTACGACGTCAATCGTTGACATAACTTCCTGTAGGCTAATTGTATTCTGATTTATAGTAACAGAGTCCAGTCATCAGTACGAATTTATTTAGAGTTCATGGTCCGATACGCGAAGGTTGCGCTTTCCTCCAAGCTAGACTCACATCGCGATTTACGAACGATGCCTATCGCGTGCAGTGATAGAATATCGGCGATTACATAAATATTTGTCTCAGGCGGACTCGCTATCTGACACTTTGAAATATTTACAGACGGACGAGGTACTGAGAATGACACGAAGATAAAATCGACACTTAATATTTTACACCGAAAATCGAGAGTTCGAGGAAAATCGATGTAATCCATCAAATTTGATTGTTTTGCTCAAAAATTAATTCCAAGTTAATCGGATAAAAAATTCACGTAGATGGACTTTTATAAATGAGAACAATTTTTTATTCTCTCGTATCATTCTTAGTGCTTCAAATATGTAATTAACAATAGGCGCTCTTTTATTCTTCATTCTGCCTCGAGACCTTCAGAGTATTCGTAAGATAGAAATTATGATTGTTTTCGAAACGTTAAAATCAGAGGGATAATTACTGGCTCGTCGATGCGTCTATAATGTATTTCATTCAATGATGACGGATCTTTGATAATAAGGCTAACCGGAAGCACCGATCGTAACGCTAAGCAATCGCTTCGCCGTTCTCCCTCGCGGCCTAATCGATCCGCTAATATCTCTTCCACGTCCCAGAGATCTCACATATATTCCTCATTTATTATCTTCTAATTTGTCTCTGTATCGTACACACGCACAGACACACAAGAGACACGTATGCGCTATACTATAAACGAACAAACGAACGACGTGCAACATATACGAATGTCCGAATGGTGACGCTCGCGTTTCATTCTTTCAAACGGAGAAATGAATCACCGGAAAATCATCTGCGTTAGAAAAACTGTTCGCGCAAACGCGCAAAAATTGATTTCGCTTCCTAGGACAAGAATACTCTCATAAAAGTTTATAAACGTATTGACGGGGAGGGGGGAGACTTATTCAAACAAAGGGATGATTCGTATCAGAAGAACTGAAATTCACAGCTGCGAAATGTGCGAATATTTGGCATTAGAAGAAAAGACGTTCCGTAAAGTCCAAGACCCCTACGTTCGAAGACTTAGGGTTCGAAATTATGTGGGCAACATCTCAATAGAGATGGCAAACAGGACAATAATAAATATTTTCTAGAAATAACGAAATAAATTAAAAAA